ACCAAATTGTTGAAAGTTGATTGCACTTAATTTTGTTGTGATTCCAATTCCCTGTGTTTTTCTATTATCCACTTTGTATATAAGGCTAAACTTAGTAGTAATCTGGGAACCCTTACTGTTGTTGAAAGAGAGGATTCTTAAGGTGCAAAGGAGCCATTTTCTGTCAAATAGATTCCTAACCTGGTATGCATGAAATGTTTTTTTAAGTGTCAAGATAGTAGCCAACTTTGTTTTGTAGTATCAGAAATGCTATTTTAGATACAAGAATTCTTTGTACATATTGTTATAGAATCATGTATGATCCAGTGACACTGGCCACCTTACTGTTCATTGCACAAAGCATTCCATTTCCTGACTCTAACTGAGATTTTCCTGGAATGCTCACATGAGGAAATACAGAATAAATCCAAAGTAGTTAGGGAAGGGAGAGCATTACCAGCTGGGTAAGATCTGGAAAGGCTTTGTGTAAAAAGTGATGCTTGTGGTGGAAAATGCTATCCACAAAGAAGAAAGAACTATGGAGTTTGAATGCAGATCGAAGCATACTATTTGCTGTTTTTTTCTAATGTTGAGTTTTGTTTTCTCTTTCTGGTGGTTCCTCTTATTGGTTCTAATTCTTACTTACAACATCATTAATATGAAAATATGTTTAATAGGAATGTATACTTATAGCCTATATCAGATTACGTGCCATCTTGAGGAGGGAAGTGGGGAGGGAGGAAAGGAGAGAAAAATTTAAAACTCAAAAGCTTATGGAAGTGATTGTTGATAATTCAAAATAAATTAATTTTTAAAAAATAAAAAGTGATGCTTGAGCTGTTGTGTCATGAAGGAAGGGAGGGATTCTATGCGGTAGGAGTGCATTCTAGTCAGGGAGAGTTCCTGGTGCAAAGGCATTAAGGTGAGAGTTGGATCTTATGTATCAGAATAGAGAGAAGGCTGACTATAGAGTTTGGGAAAGGGGGAAATAATATGTAATGAATCTGGAAAGATAGCTTGGGGTCAATTTGTGAAGGGCTTTAAAGGTCCAGAGTTTATATTTTATCCTAGAAACAATAAAAAATTGTTGGAATTTATTGGATAGGGGAAATTTTTGTGGCACCTTCTAACCTCCTTGCTGCAAGCAAACAGGTAGTTTGCTGTCTTGATGGTACCCAAGTCCATACTCTGGCTACTAAGGTCCTTTTCTACTCTTCTCCCAGGGAACTATAGTGGAAAAGACGACTGTTCAGATCCAAAACAGAATTCATTATGTTTTTCCCCAAATCTAGCCCTCTTCCAAATTTCCCTGTTTTGAAGTGTTGAGAGCACCGTCAATCCTTCCAGTCACCCAAGTTTGCAACCTTGCTGTTACCTTTGACCTATTACTCTTCTTCAACCTGCATCTCCATTTCTTGCCAGATTTTGTTGATTCTATTTCCACAGCATCTCTAAGATCCATCCCCTTCTTTGCTTTTAATTACCTTTTCTTCAGATTCCTGTTACCTCTCTTGCCTCGACTGTTGCAGTAGCTTTCTAATGGATCTCTGTCTCAAGTTTCTTCCCTCTCCAGTCCATCCTCCACATAGCTTCTGAAGTGTTAATACTAAAGCACAGGTCTGACCATTGTCACTCCCCTTCTCAGTGAACTACAGAGATTGTCTTATCTCTAGGATCAAATACAAACTCTTGACTTGGAAGCTTTTCACAATTTGTCTCCAACCTAACTTTCCAACCAAATTGGTACTGGTCTTCCCATCATGACACTCCTTCCCCCATAGCTGTATCTTTGCATAAGTGATCTTCCATGTCGGGAATGCATTCCTTTCTTCACCTCCATCTTAGAATTTGTATTTCCTTCAAAACTCAGCTCAGGTAATAGTTTTTATGTGAAAACTTTCTTGATCTCACTAACCTAGTAGTTCCCTACCAAATTTATATGTATATGTGTGTACACATATATATCTGTATACACACGTAGATACATATTTGTGTGCAATATATGTGTGTTTATGTATATATGTGTGCCATTTTTCCTAAAAATATGGACACTTCTTGAGGGCAGAAACTTTTGTTTTGTCTCTAATTCCCTAGAACCTAACATATTGTATGAACTTGATGAATTGACAGGTCAGAAGTTCAAGTCCTGGTTCTCCAGCTTAATTGTGAGATCTTGGGCAAGTCATTTCTCTGTGAACCAGTAATATGAGGGCATTGGAATAAATCACAGGTGTCAGACATCTGAGGCCTACAATACTTCCAGATGTGGCCCAAGCCTGATTAAAATGTAATTGAGAAGTATTTGACAAAATAAGTAAAAATATGATAAAACATAGATTACATTTTAAAACTAAGTCAGTATGTAACCCAACAGGGATCCTCATGTGTAAGTTAGTGGCTCCTGTTTCTGTTTGAATTTGATGCTACTAGAATAAATGATCTTGATATTCCTTTTCATCTCCTAATGATTGTGTAGTCATAATCAGCATATCTATGCTGATACTGTACTTTTCTGCCAGTACTAGCTATATCCCAAGCCAACAAAGATCTTTGAGAAGCCTTGTCAGAAAAGTTCCCTGCTCACTTTTTAAAAAATTGTCTTCTCTCTTCTGCTGCTTATTTGCTTTGCTATGTCTGCTGTTTTTTGTGCTGTGAGGAAGGTTTTTTTAATTATTGTTGTTTAAAAAAACTAATTTGTCTATTATAGTATTCCTCTAAGATATGTACCTGGGTTTTCACAATGTTTTAGGAAGGAGAATCTCAATTATGATCAGTGATATTTAGAAAGAGAAATTTTTTGGTTCTGGTAGCTTGAGAAAAGTGTTAAAAGGAGGGACACTTTTTTGTTTGTTTGTTTGTTTTAAGCCATTTATGAATCATTATCATTATGAATGATCTGGCCTAATTTACAGAATCTGAAAAAGCCTGAATGTAGATAGAAAACACAACTGGTAAAGGGCTTGACACTTAGTGCAACTTAATTACCCATAGTTATAATGACTTATAGCTTTTTATCACTTTGTTTTATAATGCCTTATACATAGTAAATGCTTAATAAATGTTTGTTGAATTGAATATTCATTAAAATCACTTGTTTAAATTCATAAGGTGAGTAAGTGATGAGGTCAGGACTAAAACCAAGGTATTTTGATCTCCAAGTCCAATGTTTTTTCCATTACACCATGCTCCTATCCAGGACAGATGTCCAAATTAGAGAGCCTTTGCAAGGCACTTAACCTCTCTGAACTTCAGGTTCCACATCTGTAAAGGTGAATATTGGTACTTGAAAGACCCGCTCACAGTTTTGTTTTAAAGATCAAATGTAAATATAAAAGGCTATAAACATGTAAGCAGTTTTAAACGTTTTTCCTTATTAAACTGTGCCGTGGTGTATTCATCTGTTTAAAATCAAGAGGTGAGTTGAACAACTGAAATAACATCCCAGTCATGATGACTTTATGTTTATTTGAGTATCCTTAGGATATGTGGATTTATATTGACTGCTTTGATGGCATATCTATTAGAGGGCTGTTTTTGTTGTTGCATTTTTTTAAATCCTGAGATTCCTTAGACAAGGGGGAAATTATACCTAGTGAAAATCCTTTTTCAGTCTGTCTAAGAAACTGTGTTTTCACATTTGACTTTGGTTCTCCTTCCAGTAGTCAAATCTTACTACGATTTATGGGATAAAGATGGGAAATTTCAGGGCTTTTAACAGGAATTGTTTGAGTGAAATTGTTTAACAGGAATTGTTTGACAAAAAGAATTTTTAGAAAAAGAAACAATACTTTCTGACATGGAAAAAGAATATGCATTGGGAATGATGAGCTTTTACTTACTACTCTTTATTACAGTACCATCTCCAGAAACCATTTTGTCTCTTTTCACCACTCTTCCCTCATTCCCCCATTTTCTCTAGACAGTTGTTTAGTAATCGTTGCTGTTACATCCTTTTTATAAAAAAAAAAAAATGATGTGCTATATCTGTAGTACCCTTTCCTCAGAGATTACTGAGAATTTATTGAGAATTACTGAGAAATTACTGAAATTGTATAAATTTTATATTTTGTTTTCTTTGTATATATTATTTTCTTCTTGGTAGAATGTGAGCTCCATGAAGATTTTTGTCTTTGTATCTCCAGCCCTGTGCACAGTGTCTGGCATCTAGTAGACTTTAATAAATATTTGTTGAATGAATAAGTAGAAAATGTAGGAAAGTGTTCAGGGTTGGAGAATAGAGGTCCTGAGGAAATTCACATGGAACTAATAGCTGGAGCCATTGACCTTCCTATCTCAATTGGGACTTTGGGCAGGTTACTTCATCTTCCTAGGACTCAAGTTCCTCATCTGTAAAATGAGGGGATTGAATTATATGGTCTTATATGTCTCTCTTCCAGCCTTTCTATGAGCCTTTGACTAAATGAGGTCTCTCTAAAGGACTGAGGGTGGAGAAGAGAACCAAGGATCAACCTTTGGAGAACCTTTACATTTAAAGGTCGAAAGAATGAAGAGAGAAGGAATAAATAATTTTTTAAAAAATTCACCCTTCATTTCATTACTTTTAGACTATATAAAGTGCAATTCTTCTAGTATCTATTCTAATTTTTTGATTATTTCTCCCCCAACAAAGTTGAAGTTTGTTTTATCAAATTTTGTATGAGGTTTGTATTATCAAATACTAGGAAATTGCTCTGATTTCAATCTATGCCATAGATTGGTATGCTTTTAATTACTGAGTTTTTAAATGTTAGTAAGATAAATGGAGTATTATCTAACAAAGGCATTGATTTTTCTCCTTTTAAATTTGTTTATTATATAATAATAATATGTATTGTTATAATAAGAGGAAAATTAGAATGATCATCATACCCCCCAACAACTTAAAACCTGACATCTTGCTATTTTCTTCGAGTAGCTAGATTGCCATGTAAATATGTAGACATCATGTTGTGAAGCATTAAAAGAAAGAGAAGTTAAGTAGTAGCACTGTTCATTTCTAATGGAATTCTTCTTCTTTTTAGAATTGATAGATGTCACATGTACCCTGCTACTTCTAAACCCAGACTTTACCACTGCATGGAACGTGAGGTATGGCACCTGCATCAAGAGTTTGACCAGATTTCCGAAGTCACGTGAGCCCCAGGATTTTTTTTTTCTTAAATTCAAAATAAGTCAGCCATAGTGTTTTGCATAAATTTCCCCCTTTTGACCACTTTCTTTAGTGGTAACCAAGCACTAGAACACTGGCTTGCAGAATTTATTTATGGTTATCATGCCTTTATCTTATTTTATAAAACTGTTCTTGAAATAGAGTTGCCATTTTGCATTGAGATGTGTTTTATGTGTATTTTTATGCTATTTATAGTCTTAGGCAGGTCCTTACCTGTAAAATCAGGAAATTGGACTATGTGATTTTCTAAAATCCCTTAAGTTTTAAATCTTTATTACCCTATTTTTTCCTTTTCTTATAGTATGATGTAACTCATTAAATTTGATAATGATGTATTAATTGAGTTAATGTGGTGTAGTGGAAGGAGCATTGGACTAAGTTGGGAGACCTGAGTTCTCAGGCACCTTATGACCTGGAGCAAGTCACTGTACCTGTCAACTTCAGTTTTCTCATCTGTAAATAAGGGAGTTGAACAAGGTGATCGCCAAGGATATTTTTACCTTTACAATTCTGTGATTTTCTTTAACTGTTGCAGTAATCAACAGTTTAAATATAGGCAGGTAGGTACTTATCTAAAGGAAGATCTGTCAGATCTTGAAATAACTAGAATAATACCTTAATGAAATCATTTCTGTGCTGAGAAGTTGTAAGGTCCATGTGAAGCAAGTTTTTTTTTTCCTACCTTGCCTCTTAGCTAGCTAAATTTATAAACAGAGTTTATTGATCTAAGAGGAAAAGACAGCAAGGATTAGCTGTCACGCCATTGTCTGTGGATAGTCTGTAAAAACAAAATGCTCTTGAAAGGAATAGTCAGTGAATCCTATTCATTAGTGCTGCAGTTTTTAAAAAATAGTTTTATGCAGGACAGTTACTGATTTTAAAAAGTGGAATTGATGACCCTGGGCAAGTCACTGAACTCTAATGCCTAGCCAGAAAAAACAAAACAAAACCAAAAGTGGAATTGAGCATTAATGTTTTTCTTTGAAAAAGAAAGTCATTTTTCTCCATTTATCAGTGGAATTATAGAAATGCTCATAGATTTTAGAGAGGAAAATTCTTGTCTTATTTAGAGTCTAGTTCTGTATCTGTTTATGCATTATAGAGAAATGAATCAGGTTGCAGGCTAAAAATGTTATACTGACATGGAATCTACTTTAGTTTTCCTTATTAAAAGATATTATTAATCTTTTCTTCAAAGGGGGTATCATAAAGATTACATGAGGGATCATTTAAACTCAGTAGAGAAAAAAGTTGTTTAAATACAGAATTAATTGGGAGGGCTGTTTTGTAGCACTAAATTTTATTCTCTAAAGAAACAGAATTGGTTAGAATTTTTATTTTATTGATTTATTTTATTGGCATATGAGTTTAAAATTTTGCTTTGTTACTAAGACCTTATTTCCATCATTCATAGGCACTCATCGGAGAATAACATGCAATTCTGTAGTGCAGGGCCCAAGCAGTACTTGATTAATAACTGGCTTTCTTCTGGGTGTAGTAAAGGTAGTTATGTAGGTGAGTTTGGAAAGGATGACTGACCAGAAAAACCAGTGACCCCTATTTTTGTACTGTCTCCTGTCTCCATCAAAGTATTCTTAGTGAACCGTGATTCTGAATGAATCCTCCTTAGTTTGTGAATGGAACAGAAAGTTGTAGTAGAGAAGTTATAACATAGATATGAGTCACACCTTCACTGTGTATAAGTTCAGAAGGATCCGAAAGAGCCTGAAGTGGGAAGAGAATTCTGAAGCTTATGCAGGGTCAAAACCAGGAATCATAATGAGTATAAGAGAAACTAATGAGAAGCAAACCCTGGAGTTCAGGTAGCATTAGTGTGGCACCTGGCTAGTGATAGGTGTCTAGTTAAAGAGTGATCTCAGTTTGCAGCCCACTGTTGGTCTGTGAGTATATGTGTATTTTATATGTAGTCAGCCCCATCCAAAGTCTTCTAAAATTTCTTCAGTGTGAGATCCCCCCAGCTATCACCTATCATTGGTATCCCTGGCCATAGTCAAATGCACACATCAGACAGTGTATGCCAGTTAACTGAGGTTTTATAGTAAATATATAGTGGTGAAACACTCCACTTATAAACATTAGCCTGTTTGAGAGGCAGTGTGGTATAGTAGAAAGAACACTGGACTTTGTCTTAGCTCGTGCACATAGAAACTATGGACTAGGCATATCATTCCGTTTCCTCATCTGTAATCTGGAAATAATGCTTGCATTACTTTTCCATTACTATTACATCTAGAAAGTAACTTCACTACTTCCAAAAATCCATCATTTCATTAATGTGGATACCTTCTTCACTGGCACAGTTCATAGTCCCTCCTCACCTTAGGATTTAGTTTCATGAGTTTTGTGGCCCTCCCCCCAAAAAAAATTGATTTTAACTGGTCATTCACCTTCTGTTAATGTGCCTCTTTCAACTAAGGCTTTTTCTTGGATAATAGTCCATCACCAAGCCAGTACTTGAAGTCTTTCCAACTTAGTAAGACCTGCCAGTACTTACTGGCATAAACTTTGAAAACCCTAGGTTACCTTTACACCACAGCATGGCATTGGAACAGGGTTTTTGTGAAGGGAAAAAGAATTTGAGGGAGGTAAAGGTAGAAAGGAAGAAGCAAAATGTGACAAGAAGAAAGGACTTTACAAACTGTAATAAATGAATGCTAATTTTTAAAGGCATGAGAATATGCTTTTGATCATTGTGATATTGAGAGGGTGCTACTATTGTTAATTTTTTTTAATGGGGTAGTTCATTTCATTCTGAGCGTGCATTATGTCCATTGCAGTTTTTCAGCAGGAAGATTGCAATGATGGTTTTGTTGTTTCGTTTTTTATAGGAAAGAGCTAATCCTATCTGGCACTTTAAATCCAATTAAAGACTTGCATCTGGGAAAACTGGCCTTAACTAAGTTTCCAAAGAGTCCAGAAACATGGATTCACAGGTCTGACTAAGTTAAGATCCAAGTACTTTTATTCTTGCTGTGTAAGGGATGGATGGAAAGGGAAATAGAAACCCAGCTACTATTGGGCTTAGCAACTTGGGCTGTTCAAATACATCTGGCTGAAATGTGGTCTTATATAAAGTGGGTTTATATAACAAGTGTATGGACACTGAAAGAAATGCAGCTTTCCCACAGTGGGAGATTTTACTAGGGCTTATCCAGACCCAGGAAATGCTATCAGATTAATTTTTTTTTAATTAGGCAAGTAATCTTGTTCTCCTCTTATTAATATAACTTGGTCTGGATTCCTGTTTAGACTCTATAGGAACACAAGAGGAATGTAAGATAAAAAAAAGCTTTTAGGGAATAGCCAGATTGGCTGACTTTCCTTAGAACTAATTACTTCAATGCTAATTATGTTTTCAGTGTCCATATTTCTTGTTACTTGAGAAATAAAGTAAAATCAAGTAAAAGATTATCTGTTATGATAGACCATATAATATTCAGGTATATCAAACTATATTTTTTCTGGCAATATATAATTTTTAGGATTTCTATAGGGTAGTGATATAAACAGAATAGTGTATTTTATGGTGGATGTTTGTATTCGTGTTCTAATATACAGTTTATAATTTCCACATGCAAAAAAAGTGATATTTATGAAGATGTATAATTTTCCAGATATTATGGGCCAAGGATAGAAGTGTAGTATTGCCAGAACTTTTAGAAAATAGAAAACCCTAGGGGATTTATCTGAAATTGATTCAGATGAAAAACATGCTTAAGTTTCTTTTTTTTTTTGTATAATTGTACAGATGTTTAAAAAAAGAAAGCAGTGTGTATCAAAATGAATGTTCTTTGCTACTTGGCTTTTTAAACCTTTCCCATATCTCACAAAATACAGCCATCTTTTTCCTTGACAGCTGAGTGCTATGCACTTTATTCTTTCATTAATGAATTCCAGTTTATACAAAAGCAATGTCTTCCAGCTTCATATTTGCCTATTACGCTCTTCTTTCACTTTGCTTAACTATTATAATTCTTTTCCATGTCCACAAAATAACTAACTTAAAATGTGTAACTTACTAATAATAGTAGTTGCCAGGAGAGACAATTAGCAAATTGGATATAAAAGATATACATTTGGGAGTTATCTGCTTAGGTAAAGAAACATCGGTGTACCCTGAGGAAGATGGGAGGTGCATATGCCGGACAAGCCAAACCATTGTCACCAATTCCCCTCAAGCTCTTGTGGAGACAACCCAGCATTCTAAGCCCAAAGGCCTTGGGAATAGCAGTGCCTCACGGACCATTGTCCTCGCTTCTAGCCTGTTCCCCTCAGTAGTCATGGAGGGGAGTAGCCCTTGTCAATAATAGTCCTATCATTTTTGCCAACACCTACACCAGCCACTGACCAACTGCTAACATCAGTCAGAATAGCAATATCCCCAGATCATTTACCCTGATTCTAGCTCAGCCCTTAAGCCATCCTCTAGGGGAGCAACTCCAAGGGGCCATCCCTCCCTTCCAGCTGCCATTACCAGGGCAGGCAAGCCAGTGTAGTAGAAACAGCAAGACAGCTTGAGACAAGAAGCATCATGGTCCAGGCAGGTCAAACCACCACCTCATGCCACGTTCCCTGAGACTCTCATGTAGACAGATCCAATATCTTGAGCCTCAGAACTCTGGGAATAGTGGCATCCTGTCAGACCACTGACCCTACATCCAGCTCAGCCCCAAAGCCACCACAGATCATATGAGCCCTTGTGGAGATAACACTTGACAACTTCCTCTACCCATGTTTCAGTCACTGCCTTCTCAGCAGCCTAATGAAGACCTGGAAAAGAAAGTTTTCTCCACCATGGAATTGACATTAAAGAAGATGTATTTCCATGTTCTTTACCACGAGGCTTTTCCCTCTAATTTGCTGAGCAACCTTCTATATGTGTCGTCTTTCTTTAATGCCATGTGAACTTTTTGAAAGCAGAAACTCTTTATTTTTTATTTGTATCCCCAGGGATTCCCACAGTATTTTACATATAGCAAGCACTTTCTTATTTAGTCAGTCATACACATATAGGGGTCCTAGGAACATGTGTCTTCATAATGTTCTGCTTTAGGGGTCCATAATGTGAATATGATAAAGTGGCTTAATGGTGAGTTTAATAATGAGAGATGAGACTAAGTGCCCTAAATTCTCTCAGCGTAATAATAAAAGAGAAGTTATGGATTTGGGAGTGGAAGGTTGTTTTGAAAGGGTAGGCAGAGCTGAGGATGCCAGAATTGAAGAGATAGGAGCATTTCCAGAATAAAGGCATGGAGCTAGAGGGCACAGAGGCACATTCTTAGGTTTTAGAATCCTGGGCATCTGCGTATTTTTTCCTGTCTCAAATTTCCCCACTCTTTTTCACCTCTAGGGCAGAATCTAAGCCTATTGGCAGGTGTCCGTAAGGAAATACTTTGGAGGAGAACTGTCCTAATTTGTATTGCCACTGTTCTACCCCAGGTTTTATAGGTAACCTATGATTAGCTTTGCAAATTAAACCCCTCAGATTTTTTCGACCTAGATGCTTTCATTCTTTCCTGTAAGAAAGAGAAAATGGTACAGTGGAAAGAGCACTACTTCTGGAGTGAGAGGACCTAGGTCCAAATTCTGCCTGTCACTTCACTCACTCATGTTAAGCATTGGAAAAGTTAGTTAACATCTCTGGGTCTCTGTTTCCTCATTAGTAAAAGGAGTAACTGCAGTAAATGGTATCTTAATACCCCTTTCAGCTTTAGTTCTTTGATTCTCTGAACTTAGAGATACACTTTCCACCTAGTAGTGTAGTCAGCATGTGGTGGTTGACCGAACTGTTAAGTGGGGAGCATGAAATAATCAACAATCCTGCCACTAGAACTCAGGTTACATCCATTTATTAGTTTTGCTGAATTTCTTTAAAAAGGCTAGATTTTTAATGCTGGACAAGTACTGACAAGTTCCTTGGTTTAAACATAGCAAAATGTAATTCCTTGCTAAATTCTCTATCCATTTGTGTACCTAAGGATAAGAAATTTTAGCCTGAAAGAACAGTTCATTTTAGAAGACATTGAAAATATCAACTAATTAGATACACCTTTTCAGTAACTATCTTTTGGGAAAGGAAAGTTTGTTAACACAGATTTTAAGTAGAAAAGAGATATCTTTGTGGGCAAGATCAAAGGAAAACATGTTAAACCTTCTGGACGATTTAATTAATGATATCTATTTTCCTGTGTACTTATATATAATAAGATAGGACAGGTTAGAAATTGTGTTTAATGTAGTCAATTATGGACAGCTTTCTCTCCTTTTAAAAATATCTAGCAGGATATATATACTAAGTAGGAACAAAGGGAGTGGATAGTGTGTGACATGTAGGCAGATATAAGCTCCTTCCCAGTACCTCTCTCCTCTTAGTGCACGATTCAGCCATTTTCCTACCTGTTTTTATTACTTATTCTGAAAAATATTCACAATTTTTGTGGAATTAATGACATTTTATGAATTCTTGAAAGGTATACTAGCATGTAATATAAACAATAGCTGTGTTTTTGTTCATTTGAAAAAGTTTTGAATGCAGGATCAGTAATGGGTTTGTATGTTTATTGTCCAAGCCTAGCTAAGTGTAGATAGGCTCAGCACCAGAAGGTTGGCCATCCAGTGATGATTTTTCTTTTCCAGACATTAAAGTCTCGAAGGGAGAGCAGTATTGATGCTGACAAAATCATAGGTTCTTCAAGTATCAAAGTATAAATGGTTTAATTTCTTTTTCTGCTATCTTGATAAATTAGTATCCACAAAAAAAAAATTCCTACTTTCTTCCCACCCCCAACTCTCTGGCTTAATTTCTTCTACACTTTCCTCCTTTATGCATTTGTCCAGGCGATGGGTGCTACAACAACTAATTCAGGAAAACTCCTTACCCACTTTTGTGAAGAAAGAGAACTTAGCAACATTTCCCACAGAAAGAGTACAACGAATAGTGCAAGAGGAGGTTGAGGTCTGTGGTGAAGCTGCTGGGAGATACCCAAGTAACTACAATGCCTGGTCTCATCGCATCTGGGTCTTGCAACACTTGGCAAAGTTGGATATCAAGGTATGTCAGTTATTTTGGCCAGAATGCTTTTGTTTTAAATCTTGTAATATCAGCTAGTCGAGAGAGAGAGAGAGCTTTAAGATAGTAAAGTAGAGGAACTAATGTCCCAGTAGCCCTGAGAGAGTTGGTGCAGCTGCTGTCTTCCAAGGATCAGTAAAGCAGGGATGTTATAAGGCTTTGCTGAGTTCTTTGGTAGTGTAGCTTTTTTTTTTCTTTTTTCTTTCTTTTTTTGTTTGTTTGTTTTTAGGAAGCGGGGTTAAGTGACTTGCCCAGGGTCACACAGCTAGTAAGTGTTATGTATCTGAGGTCACATTTGAACTCAGGTCCTCCTGACTCCAGGGCTGGAGCTCTATCTACTACACACCTAGCTGCCCCGGTAGTATAGCTTTTGTCCTGTTAGACTAATATAGATAAAGAAAAGGCAGGTTTAATTGATCTTTTGGCTGGGAGGTGAAAATCTGTGTGTGCTGTCTTTGGCCATAAATAATAATGGGTTGTGTACCTCTATAGAATCTAGCATTCTAATGCCTTGATGTTTTCTGTGTGTACTGAGCTTATTGTCTGCCCCATCTTATGTGTTTAACTCCACCTACTATGTAGTAATACATTCCTTGTACATTATGACAACTTCAAATAAATATTTTGTATGCTAAAATTAAAGTGGTCATGTACCTCTTTTTGAGGAGTCTTCCATAATTGGAAATGGAAGTGGAGGTATGTATAGATGGAGCTCCATCCTTGGAAATGAGAGCCAACAAGGCAAAGATCAAAGTACCTCTGTTGTCTTTTTCATTCTCAGTATTGGGGCAGGAGTGGGGGGGTCAGTGAGGAAAGGGGGAACACTGCGAATGTTTTTCTCTTTTGGAAGCCCAGTCTTCTCCCTCTTCTGTCTAAATCTCTCCACAAATCTACATTTGTGATGGACATGAAACAATTTTTTCCTAATAGTACTTGTCCTTCATTCCCTGAATGTAGTGTGTGTTGTATTGAATGGATTCTTCCTACTTTATATAAGATTGTACATCTGGATGTACTGTTTATCCAGGTGATGGGCGCTATAAAAACTAATTTGGGAAAACTTTGCCCACTTTTGTGAAGAAAGAGAATCGACTACATTTCCCACAGAAAGAGTACAGTGAATAGTACAAGAGGAGATCAGGGTCTGGGGGGAAGTTGCTGGGAAGTATGAGCTGGAGGGAACTCAAGAGGCCACCTAGCCCAGCCCACTCACTTTACAGAAAGGAAATAGGGACCCAAGGGGGTTAAGTGACCTACTCAGGGTTCCATAAGCAGTAAGCGTTAGAGGTGACATAGAAATTTGGGGATAAATTGAGATAACCCGTTTGTCCTCTTAGCTCTTTTGAATTGTAGGGAAGTTTTTCTTGCCATTCCTAGGGCCTTCTCATGGGGCAAAATGTGAAAGGGAATAGAGGGCATCTACTTTGTATGTAAGAAGAAGTAAGTCCCTGACATTTTTTTAATGTTTTCTCAGGTGCTAAGTAGCATCAGCTTCTTTGTTGTGCTGACATATTGACCTTTCCCAGTTGTTATGCCTACTTCTACATTATTTCATCATTACTAGCATTATGGCTGCCCTAGCCGTCCTTTAAATTTTTTTTCACCTTTTTCAAGGAAGAGACCTATTATTGCCAACTAAGAGGTCTACAGAACACTTTTTTTAATCATTTTATCCATTTTAGGATGCCACCCTGAGCACAGCAAAAATTACTGTAGTTTAAAAATAAAACTGAAGGGAAATATCACAGACATCAAGCAGTTTCTTTCCACCAGTATTCCACAGTCAAAGGTTGATGCTATATATCTATCTTGTTTTTAATAAATTTTTACTTATTTCATTAAATATTTCCCAATTACATGTAAAGATATTTTTAACATTCATTTTTAAAATTTTTGAGTTCCAAATTGTCTCCTTCCCTTCTGCTCCTTGAGAAGGCAAACAATATGATATTGATTATATATGTGGTGTTACGCAAAACTAATTTCCATATTAGCCATTTTGCAAAAGAAAACACCTGGTATATCTTTTAAAAACACACATCATCACCAAACTCAGAGAGATGAAAATGATATGAGAAAGGAGAAAAGTTTGATTTGCAGTCTACCTGCTATCCTAGTAAGCCCTTGCTCTGCCTTTTTTCACTTGGGAGCACAGTGGGACAAAAGCTGCATTGCCTTTTTCACATAAGTAGTTTGTGTGCATGTGAGACAACCTTAAAAGTAATGAATAAGAACACACGTTTGCCTCTCAGTGGCAGGGAATATTTTTAAAAGATGCACGCTCTTGTGATTTTTGAAATTGTTTTTTCTTCATACATATGTAAAGTAACCAATATTAGGTGTTTAAATTTGCTGATTTAAATGCACCTAAAGACATTCTATATGACTAAGGAGGACTACTCCAGACTTCATAGTGGCAGAAACAAAAATTCCTCATAATGTAATTATGAGGTGACTTCTGGGAACTAGCTTCAGTGGCATTCAGAAGATGGAGGGAAGTGCAAGGGCGTGGGAGAAGAAGGATGGAGTAGGAGTATTTTGGGACATAGGGGAGAAAGAAGGTGGCATGAAAGAAATGTGTGGCCCATTGGGAATTCTTATCAAGAAAGAAGACGTGTCTCTTCTCTTATTTTGGAGAGGGGTGGAGGAAGTACCTTTTCACTAGTTGTCTCCTGTACTTGGAATGCTCCTCCTCCTCACCTCTATCTTATGACTTCCTGGCTTCTTTTAAGCCTCTGCTCACATCCTGTTTGTGCAGGAGAGCTCACCGCTATGTCAAATGTCTTCTCTTTGAGATTAACTTCCATCTGCACCACATAGATCTTTCGTGTACAGTTACTTGTTTGCATGTTATTGCATTCATTAGAATGTGAGCTCCTTGAGGGTAGAGACCTTGATTTGACCTTTCTTTGTATCCCCAGCACTTAGCACAGTGCTTGGCACATAGTAAGTGCTTAATAAATCCATACTGACTTACTTAGGATTTAAACCAGTGCTGTACTCTATTCAAATTTGGTTTTGTCAACTAGTTCTTGGCTTGTGTAGTGTTTTTATAAAGTATCATTTGAGGGCAGTTCACATTCTCTGTTGTTGTGTTCTTCAAAAATATTGTGTCTTGGGGGCAGCTAGGTGGCGCAGTAGATAGAGTACTGGCCCTGGATTCAGGAGGACCTGAGTTCAAATCTGGCCTCAGACACATAACACTTACTAGCTGTGTGGCCCTGGGCAAGTCACTTAACCCCATTGCCTAGCCAAAAAAAAAAATGTGTCTCTCAAAACATTAAGGTTGAATATTTTAACCAGAAACCAAAAAGGTAGTTCCATTATTTTTCTGTTTATTTGCTTATTTGTAATGTTTTAGTGATGTTGTGTGTGTGTGTGTTTAACACCAAAATCATATATTAATGACCCACAGTCCAGAGCCCTTTCTCATGACAAAGAAAACCAGATAAGCAAAACAAACCCACTCAGTGAACATGTTTAGCAGAGCATTTAGTATTTGCACATATATAGTTTACCCACCTAAGAAGAAATATGTAAGATGATGTTTGTTAGTAAAGAAGATTATGACAGTGAATTAATTAATGCCAAATCTATGTATACACATGCACAGTAAAGAGTAGAATTTATTCACTTAAATCAGATCCCCCCCAGTACTTTGGTGTGAACTATCCAGAGCGTTATCCATAATTAGGCCTTCTTTAAGGCCTCAATTCTAAATTTGTCAGGGGGAGGGGGGGTGAAATCAAAGCAACAAATGTCAGTTAAGCACCTGCTCTGTGCCAGACACAGATAGTAGCTCACATTTACATAGTATTTTATGAATTACAAAAAGTCCTTGAACGCATTTTACAAGTAGAGAAAGACATGCTCAAAGAGGCTAAGAGACTTGGCTAAGGTCAATATCTGAGCCTGTATTTCAGTGCAAATCTGTTTAAGGTCCAGTACTCTTTCCAGTGTTCCACACTGCCTCCCTATTAAACTCTTTGGTCCTTGTCTAGATAGGAATGGAGGACTAAGCAAATAGAAAGAATGGGAACGGAATTAGGGAGTGTAGCTTTTATGGTCTGTTAAACTTTTGGAACCTATTTTGCCCTCACATTATATTTTAAGAACGTAACGTTGACATAATATACAATGTGTTCCCTCTTACCTGATATGGTTGGCAAATTATACTCTCTGGTTAATGGAACATGGTGATTAATAAATAATTGCTATATATGCTACAAATGGATTATCAAATTTCATAGGATTAGAAAATAAGGTATTCACTGAACATTGAAACTGTATTAAGCGTAGTTTTTTGTTAAATTCAGAGGACACTATAGGTAATCATTTTGAATATCGTACTGTATATATACAGATAATAATTCACTATGGTAATTATAGCAAAATCTACATAATGTAAGACAAAAAATAAATGCTAGTTTAGGTCTGTCTTAGAATTTCTGCTTTTCAGGCTTTGTAGGCCAAGAATTCACCTGTTTTCTCTCCAAAATTAATCTAAAATCTTGCCAAATCTAGACACAGTTCCATTTTAATCTTCCCTGCCTTGCTATAATTCAAACAAAGCACTATTTCAGTAAGCACACACATTTAGGTGAATGAGTTAGAGGTCTCTGTGCCAGGCTATCTGCACAGATCACAACTTTGACGTGTAGTAGCAGTCATGTTCCCATATTCATGAAGGTCTACAGGTTGAGGATCACAGATTTGGAGTCAGAAGGGACCTCAGGAGATAAGCTGATTCTGGCCCTTTCGCTGTATAAGTGAGCCTCAGCAAGCTTGGATGTGGAGTGACTTGTCCAAAGTCTTGCAAGTAGGAGGTAGCAGAGCAGGCATTTCATAATGCTCCTTCCAAAAACATCACTACAGCTGTTTAAGTTGTATTAAGAGGGGGATCATTTTGGTTTACCTAATTTCATATAACAGCATAGGTGATAAGCTGTTGACATTCAGTGGATAATAGATTTAGAATTGGAAAGGACAAAGGCTATTAATAAGTCCAACCCTCTCATTTGACAGGTGAGAAAACTGAGGCACAGAGAGGTTAAATAACTAGCCTTGACCCAAACCTGGGTCAAGAATTTGCAGTTCTCAGACTAGGAGGATAATGAGCAGACCTTGAATTAATACATTCCAGAAAGCGAGAATAATTCTCCATATTCTTATTTTTAAAAAAACTAAGAACTATTTATGGGTGCTAATAATATACTACATCATCTCTCTATATTTTTATGTGTTTTCTAAAACCAAAGCTAGAAAATAAATTCTGGGAGAATGAAATTTTTTTTATGTATTAGAAATTTTACTTATGTGGTCACTAGTAAAACTTTTTGAGCTATATGTATGTGTACATATTGAAGTAAAGTACGCTTACATATTAAAGTAAAAAATTCAGTGTATGCTGTTGCCCTCTACCAGCTTCTCACTGTGTTATAGAAGTGACTTTCAGTACTCAATAACCATGCTAGTATAGTGTGAGCCCTGACAAGTCCAGCCAGGCTGAAATTTCAGGTATGGACCCAGCAATGTACTATGTGTTTTTTGTCTGAGGACTGGGCTTCAAGTCCAGAGAAACTTACGACCAAAAGATTAGCTATTAGGCGATGAATTTTTTTGGACGTGACGATTCATTGGTGTTACAGGGATACCATCTGTATTGGTAGAAGCTGTATTTAACAGCAGTGAAAACACGCATTGCTAAAATAATGAAGTACATGCATTTATACATGGCATTATTGAGGCCAAAGTCATGAGATTCAGTCTCTGTGGAAGGTAGATGATTGTGCTGAACCTCTGTGTTGCAAATTACTCACCACAATCTTCCTTAGTAGTATTAGAAAAAAAATTCAAAGCACATTTTTACTTCTGACAGTGATTAGCAGCAGCGTCTTTGTGTAGTATTTTTTTTCTCTCAATCTAGAGACTAAAAGAAATTAGGCTAGATCTTGAAATAAATAATTTCAGTAAATGAAAATATAGTATCAGTACCCAGTTCCTTAATGCTACAAATTTTTAAAGCTCTATGAAATAGCTTGTAAATATATCGTCATCCTGCAGTAGAGGTTCTGTAGCTCTGAAGATTATTTTAAAATGTCTGTAAGAATGCTTATTTTCTGATATATAAGAGAGCTTTGTAGAAATTTAATGGGTTTCTCTTTTAAATACAACTTTCATCTTTTTTTTATCATCTGATATTACTGAGAGCAAGCATCATTGTTTTTTCTCTTACTAATTTTTTTGGGGGGGCTTAGTGACTTTTTTATTCTTAATACTCCCCCTTTTTTATTTTAAATAATTTATTTGTTTTTAGTTTTCAGCATTCACTTCCATAAGATTTTGAGTTTTAAATTTTCTCCCCCTTCTTCTCCCCCCTCCCCAAGATGGCATGTAATCTGATATAGGCTCTACTTATACATTCATATTAAGCATATTTTCACATTAGTCATGATGTATAGAAGAATTAGAACTAATGGGAAGAACTTCTAGAAAGAAGAAATAAAACAAAACAACAAAAGAAAAGGAGAGCAAATAGTATGCTTCTATCTGCATTCACACTCCATAGTTCTTTCTCTGGATGTGGATAGCATTTTCTATCATCAGTCTTTTGCAATTATCTTAGATCACGGCATTGCTAGGAAGAGTTAAGTCTATCTCACAGGCTGTTACTGTGTACAGTGTTCTCCTGGTTCTACTCATTTCACTCAGCATCAGTTCGTTCAGCTCTTTGCAGGTTTTTCTAAGGTTTGCCTGCTCATCATTTCTTATAGCACAATAGTATTCTATTACATTCATATACCACATCTTGTTCAGTCGTTCCCCAATTGATGGGCATCCCCTCAATTTCCAGTTCTTTGCCACCACCAAAAGAGCTGCTATGAATATTTTTGTACGTGTGAGTCCTTTTCCCATTTTTATGGTCTCTTTGACACCCCCCTTTTTTTAAGAGAAATGTTGTGTCCAGATTATGCCTTAGACCCCTACTTTACATTTAATCCCTGCCTTTTTCAGTTTCTTTCTTTATAAAAGAAAATAATTGTCTGACTTTATATAAGCTTTTCCACAAAGGTCCATACCAGGGGTGGCCACATTAGGCCCTCGAGTGCAGCCCTCTGACTGAATCCAAATCCTGTTTGTTTTGTGAAGTTTGGATTCAGTCAAAAGGCTGCACTTGAGGACCTAGAGGGCCACATGTGGCCTCAAGGCCATAGGTTCCCCACCGCTGGCTCTATACTCTATACTTTTAAATAATTAAAGATTCTTCTGTAGCACATGCCCATGCATTCATGGAAGAATAATGTGATAGGCATTTTTGTTTTCAGTTTGAGAAATCCTATTTTTTAAGTCAGTTAAATTGAGATTGTCACAAACCTTTTTAATTCATTTACTAATTGTTTTGGAGGAGAAAATACTAATAAAAATTTGTTGGTTTTTTTTTTCCACTTCATTTAAGCATATACCAAGAAGGGAGTTAGTTATCTGGGTTTTTCTTGTTGAATAAATTCCTTTCATACAAGAGTATTCAACCTACATGAAAAGACAAAACCAGAAAAAGCTGCTAGGTTACAGCTGAGCTGTCCTTTGAATTAGTTATTCCACAAATGTACTGATTTTAAAATTGGCTTTCTTTAGGAGTAAGTGTTCTTTTGCTTACTTATTTTCAAGTTGATTGGTTGCAGGAATGGTCTTACTTTCCTAAGAGAATAGCCATCTGTGACATCTGAAACAAGCTCATGTGAATAATAATTATTCCTCTAAAATGAAGCATTTTTTTAGTGTGTATTCCAGCTAAAACTGTTCTGAGTTCCTATGGTTTTTTATTCTATGTACTAGTCATTTGGTCTTTATATCATTTGTTAACTGTTCATTTGTGTATATCTTGTCTCTGTTACCCACAGAGCTCTTAGCTCTGTTCCTTATTGATAGTGTAGAGCTACTCAATGAATTTTTTATTTATGCCCATTCGTAGGTAAGTACCTGAGAAATTGCTAGGTAAACCTAAAGAAATTTTTATTTTGTCGCATCAAAATTTTCCCCCATCTTCAATGAAATTAGGAGCCATAGTTCTCAATATTATCTGTACTCTGGTATTATTTGTTTTTTATTGTGGTATTATATGTGTATTATTTGTAGTCCACCTCCAATATATACACTTATATACATCCTCTCCTAGAATTGTTTTTATTTACCTGAGTAAGAGTGAAACTATGTAAGGCACTTCCTTTTTTGAAAGTGATCATTTTTCTTTTTTGTACATTGAGAAAAACTGGAGAAAAAGGCTTAAGGAGTGGTTAAGTTTTTAAGGTCCTTATTTCTAAGATATGTTAAACTTACATGTGACTGACTATAAATACTCTCTCTCTCTCTCTCTTCTCTCTCTTCTCTCTCTCTCTCTCTCTCTCTCTCTCTATATATATATATATATATATATATATATATATATGCATCTTGCTATATCTTGCTCATTTTAAATTTGTCTTTTCTTTGGGTGTGCTATTCTAAGTGGGATTAATTAAGCTCCTGGGAAAGGATATTAATTAAATGGACCTTTTGAATTGTGTTGTTTTGTTATTTTTTAATGCACTTTCTGTTTACAGTGGAAATTAGTCTTAATGGTGATAGGGTTGCAAAAAAAGAAAATTGGTCACAGATAAATCTGAGGCCTAGTGAAGAAAAGAAAAATGTATGGAAACCCTTTCTTACTTGTTTTTCTTTATTCTTTATCCCTTCTACCTTTCACCACTCAAGATTCTTCTTGATGAACTGTCTTCCACCAAACATTGGGCATCCATGCATGTTTCAGATCACAGTGGATTTCACTACCGCCAGTTCTTGTTAAAGTCTTTGATAAGCCAAACTGTGACTGACAGTGCTATATTAGAACAGAGCCCTTTGGTAAGTGAGCATATCTCAGATCTTCCAAAAGATGATAATGAAGAAGACACATCAGCAGAGCACCACAGGGTGGTGGATCTTTCCCATCTTCTAGAGGAAGAAGTTGAACTCAGCACGGATCTCATTGATAACTACCCGGGACATGAAACACTCTGGTGTCATAGGTAAGAGAAACCTCTTTCCAAAGCCTGAAGCTTCATGGCTGCTTCTCAGGAGCAGAGGGGTTCACAGAGGGGTGAAGCTGCATCCAGTAGCAGTCTTGTATTGACACAAGAGCTTATCTGCATATGAGGTGGGTGTTGTAATTGAGCTTTTGCTTGACTGAGAACTGCCAGACACGTTCCTATAGAGAATTTTAAAGCCCCAGGGGTGGCTGGGCGATTGTCAGTACTTTTGTTAGTATTCACAAGGTTCCCTAATCTTTTCCATTGTCTTAAGCCAGCCCCTGCAATGATTTTTTTTAAGGTTTCTATAGTATTTAGTATCAGTTTATTTTTTTAAATATTTTATTTTTCCCCCAGTTAAAAGCAAAAACAAATTTTAACATTCATTGGTTTTTTGTTTTGTTTTTCTGTTTTGAGTTCCAAATTCTATCCCCTCCCTTCCTCCTCTCCCCCCTCCCTGAGATGGTAAGCAGTCTAATATAGGTTATACATGTGCAGTCATGTAGAACACTGCCATATTAATAATTTTGCCCCACAATGATTTTTACCAAAGAGAATCCATGGTTAGTTTGTTGTATCAGTTCAATTCATCAAGCATTTAGTAAGGACTTGCTTCATGCCGTGCACTGGGGATATAAGACAAAAATATAGAGTCCTTGCCATCAAGGAGCTCATATTTTATGTGACTCCTCAAAACTTTTCATGTCGGTAAACTAAGTTACCTTTTCTGCTTTTCTTAGCTCTTCTCTTGAAAGTTTGTTTGCTTTTCTTTTTGTATTCTCAGCTTTTAGTATAGTGCCTGGAACAAAATAGGCGCTTAATCGATGTTTATTAAATTAATGAATTTTCAGAAGAGGAAGTAACTTGCTGAAAATCCCAAAAAATAATAATAGCTAATATTTATATAATGTTTAAGGTTTGCAAGGCATTTTCATATATATATATGTATATATTTATTATCATCTTGTTTTCCCTCGTATTTATCAGATCTGAATTAGTGTTAACTTGGTATGAAAGGACATGTCCTTCTGAAATATATTATGTACTGTGGTTGAACTATATACCCCAAAATTCCACATCTCAGATAGTTTACCTCACTCTTTTTTAATTGGGACAGTGTCTTGTCACTATAAACATCAATGGTATAATTGCTTTCATAATTGTTTTGTGTGTGTTTTATATTTAATTTTGTCCTCATATTGATTTCCTCTCAGTAGAGTAAGCTCTTCTATGGTAGACTTCTATTTTTGTTTTTTCATCCCTAGCACCTTGTAAAGAGCCTGGCATTTAAGAGATATTTATTTTTTGTTATTTTTTTAATGTAAATTTATTTATTTTTAGTTTGCAATATTCACTTCCACAAGTTTTTGAGTTCCAAATTTCTCACCCTTCCCCCACCCCAAGATGGCATGCATTCTGAATACCCCTTCCCCTGGTCTGCCTTCTCTTCTATCTCTCCCCCCTCCCTTCTCTTATCCCCTTCCCCTTCTATTTTCCTGTAGAGCAGGATAGACTTCTGTACCCCATTTCCTGTATTTCTTATTTCCCAGTTGCATGTGCAAACATTTTTTTTAAAACATGTGTTTTTAAAACTTTGAGTTCCAAATTTTCTCCCTTCCTCCCTCCCCACCCACTCTCATTGAAAAGGCAAGCAACTCAATATAGGTTATACATGTGTAGTTATGCAAAACACTTCCATAGTAGTCGTGTTGTGAAAAACTAACTCTTATTTCCCTTAATCCTATCCTGCCCTCCCATTTATTCTATTCTTTCTTTTGACCCTGTCCCTCCTCAGAAGTATTTGCTTCTGATTACCCTCTTTCCCAGTCTGCCCTCCTCTCTCTCACCCCCCTGCTCTCTTGTCCCCTTTTCCCCCTATTTTCCTGTAGGGTAAGACAGATTTCCATACCCAATTGAATGTGTATGTTATTCTCTCCTTAAGCCAAATCCTATGAGAATAAGATTCCCTCATTCCCTCTCACCTTCCCCTGTTTCCCCTCCACTGTGAGAGACTTTTCTGGGGTTTTTTTTGTGAGATAATTTACCCCATTCTACCTCTCTCTTTCTTCTCTGAGTATCATCCTCTCTCATCCCTTAATTTTAATAAATACATTTTAGATAGATGAATGAGTTCCATCTGTAATCAAGAAAGCTGACTCTATGAGAATAATTTCCTTAGGCAGTAAGATAAATTGAAGCTTTATTTTTTATTTGTATATTTTAAAATTATTGGAGGTGTTCCCTTTCCCAGCTTGCTCAAGTTTTCATACTGTTGGATCATTTCCTCTTCTGCTTCATTACTAGGTAAAGTTAGAGGATTAATAGGAGATTTATCTGCCCTTGGGACTATACAGTACTTTCATTAATAATGGGTTTTTTGTTTTGTTTTAACCAAAGCCACATCAAGGCAGAAAACAAAAGTAAGCTTTTGAGTGGTTGGGAAAATTGTTATTACTGAAAAAAAGTAAATAATACTTCAGATAATAGCAAAAAGAAACCTTCCAAACCATAGACAGCTGATCAGGTAATTTGTCCTTTAAACTCCCTTTCCTGTAAAGTTTATATATAATATGAAGAGGTATGTTAAATAGCAGATTAGATAATGTATTACACTTCCAAGAAAATCCTATTCCAATGCTTTATCTTGGCAAAAATCATCTCTAGGTTTTTTAAGGTTGTGTCAGCAAAGTTCATGCTGTGGCACGTTCTGCTTAAATTATGTTAAGGCTTTTGAGGTGTGTTAGAAAGATAAATGAAATAAACTCTAAAGGGCTTAGAGTTATGGCAGTAGAAGTTGATGGTTATGGAAGTGCATATGATTTTCTTCCATAGCTGTGATCCTAAGAAGTTGTATTTATGGCATAATTTTTCAAAGTTCAATTAAATTTGAAATGCTCCTGGAATATTTTGTTATTTAACAGAGTACTCCAGTCCATCATTTTTCTAAAGCAGATAACATTCTGATGCGAACCATCAAACCAATAAGTTTGGGGATTTATTTTGGAGACTTGGAAGGACAAGGGAGAGGGGTTTTTTAGCATAGTATGAATTTCCTCCTGAATGTTACCACACGGGAAGAGATGACCATAAGTGATTTGTAGTATAAACTTTAAAGGATGAGGAAGGGACCACATCCATTTAAACTTGCTTTTTCCAGTACCCACCATAGCTTTGTGCATGTGAATAACGTGCTACTGTGATGTGTCATGACATAGATGCAACTGTAGGGTTTCGTCTGTTACAGGAGAAATGTAAGTTTTAAAGAAAGGCTTGAGTACAGGTCCCTCGTGACAATTTGTGTGTGTCTGTTATCTGAATACCAGCCTTATAAAGGGTAGAGAGATTCATCACCAGAGTTGCCCTCCAAGTGATGGATTATTTTGGTGACAGCAGTTCATGAATTAGTGATTAAGTTCAAGAGAAATGTTCATATGATTTCTGGATTATAAGGCAAACTACAATAATTGTACTAATAAAGTTGTACTTCTACAGGAAAGCCTTGGTAGAAGCCATGACCTAAGTACAAAGGAAAGGTGTTCCTCTGATTACTGAATTCTTGATTTTTCATCAGGCTGGTTAGATTAATTTTTTTTTAATACTGCATGGAGCAACAGTTTATCTGAAATCATTCTTTTTTGTTTAAATGTGATATTCTGATTTTCATTTGTTAACAAACCTGAAGTGTCATAATTAGTTTTGTAGTTTTTTTAAACCCCTCCTTGAGTACAAAATACTGTAACAGTCTAACAAGTAAACTAGGGGCTACAAGACTGTAAAGTATTGCACAGTTCTTAAACAGCTACTCTTCCCCACAAGTCTGTTGTAAAGGAATAAGCATATTGCTTTGAATTTGGGCCCTGTGTTTGAAAGCACCACCTTGATGCTTTTTTCAGTGTTGCCTGACCTAACTTTGACTATATGTTATTTTTTCTTTTCACTTCCTGGCCTCTTCTTTTACAAAGGCGGCATGTGTTCTACCTTCAGCACCACTTAAACAATAAGCTTCCTCACAGCCAGATGCGACTATCACCCGTGGACAGCAATGGTGGGACTTTAAATGACTTAAATCTCAGCCCAGCAGTCACTCATATGACTCAGGCCATGGATGTGGATGGCTTAAATGACTCTAACAAGCAAGGCTATTCCCAAGAAACTAAGCGACTAAAACGGACACCAGCTCAGGACTCCCTTGGCATAGAAATGGAACACAGGTTTATTGAACAAATTTTGTCCACCTGCCGAAATGTAGAGCAAGCCAGGTTTGCTAATGCTTATAGGAAATGGCTGGTTACTTTGAGTCAGTGAAAGAAATGGAGAATTCCTGCAGGGTTTTACTTATAGTGCAATATTACTTTCTTTTCTTTTCTTACTTACACAGTTGCATGTACTGGTTCTACTATTGGCTCCTTATCCTTTATGATCAATTTTAAGGTTTGTTGGAAACTCTTGTATCATTTGTTTTGTTAGGAACAGGCAATTCTTTTACAGGAAAGAAAAAACAAAAACATTTCCCTAGTATATAGTGAGTCTTAAATTTTGAGAGAAAAACTCATATCCTTTGCATTTCTACTTTGGGCAGCTTCATATTCAGTTCTCATGACGTTTTTTTCCTTCTTTTTTTTTTGGTTGGGAAGTTTATTTGTTAACTTGCTATTAAAAAAAAACCTTTAAGACATAATGCAGTTTCTAATGACTAACTTTAACTTGATCCAGTTTTGTTTGGGAAACAAATATGGATAGGTGAAAATAAAAACAAATACAGACCCGAATGTGCTCTAGTTGTAGACTAAACTAATCAAAGTCAGTAGAGATAACCAATTTATCAAAGGATTATTAATTTTAAACCCTAACTTTAAGAAGTTATGTTACTACAGTAATAGAAAATTATTTTAGTTATGCTTGTTATTTTCCTTTAAGTTGGCATAGGCTACGAACACTCAACTTAAACCCTATATAATTAGTACCAAGTTTTGCACCAAGTTAGCATTTTTTTTTTAGTTCTTACTATCTTCTTTCACAGATTCGTTGGATTGGGAATCAGATTAATTAAACATGGAAATTTGTTCATAAAAAGTTCACCTGTATTTTATTTTATTGATTTACCAAATCAACAAACCATTATCTTATTTATATTTCTGAAAATTTATGAGGTACACTACAGAATTCTAAAGAGATGAATATTAAAGATTTGGGGGGGGGGATAAATGTGGGGGCATCTTAAGAAATAGGTTAAAACATTTTAGCACTGAAATTGTCCAGACTGAGGACTCAGCAATCTACTTTATATCCATTATATCCGTTATCAGACTCTGTAGATAATTTTGAAACCAGGGGTTCAGTCCCAGGGTTTCTCTCTTGCTTTCCTTGAACCCCAAGGGTTGAAAAATAGTAGAGGGACATAATTGCTCTCCCAGTGTTTTCTTTAGCTAATAATTTCCACCCTACTTAATTTTTTTCTCCCTCCTCATTATCTGTCCCTTCTCGCCATATCCCTTTGTTATTTCTTGTCACTTACCCTTTGTTGTTTGTATATTGTTTTCTTTTCCGTATTTCTTCAGCAAGAAGTACCCCACCTTTATTTCTTGTCCCACAGAAAAAGGACCAGGAAGGATGTATAAGTATGATCAGTCCTATTAATACCAAATTGGCAGAAGTTGCTGACCAAAATGAGAATACTTAAAAATCTCTAGCTTTCAGGGAGGGATGTAAGCAGTAGAAGTAGAGATGCAACCTCATCCTACCTCCTGTTCTTCCAAGTTTCACTTTCTCATTTGGCCAGGGTGGGGGAGTTGGGAGAAAGATAGATTTCTGCTATTTCGCTCTTATGAAAACCCCAGATTAACTTGAATTTTTAAGGCAGTATAGAATAGTGGAAAAAGTCCTGGATTTTGAATTTATAGATTATGAGTTCAAATTCCACCTCGGCTATTTATTTCCTAGGTGACTTTGGGCAAATCACTTTACCTCTTGGACCTCAGTTTGTTGTTTTTTTTTTTCACCTGTAAAATGAGATCATTGGTCTTTTCCAGCTGTAAAGCCTATGATCCTATATTGAAATAGGTTTCTTTCAAGGGGATACAAAATTTACCCCTTATTTTGGCATCATAGCTCTGTTCAGTGACAATCAGACAGTGAGCCTTAACAGGGTCTCAGGAAATTGGCCAGCCTGACCCTAGTGGACCTAGAGACCTTAAATGTATGACCAATTGCTGCTGGGCTTCTTCCTAGGGGCAAAAGTGACTGTTTTGTATACCTTTCAATCTGTATCCTTATCCTTGTGAATATAGTCCTATGCCCTAATATACAAAGCCCTTTTTAGCAGAAGTTCCTGAATCTAATACCTCAGGGTCTGGAATCTCTATGATTAATCATTAGCTTGGGATTCTTTCTTAGTGGTTACATAGAAGTAGAGAAGTTATAACAGGTCCAGTGCATCCTGCTAGTGTACATAGCCAGTCATTGCCTCCATACGGTATTAACTTCAGTTTCTTTCCTAAGCTTAGTTTTAATTATCCTCAATAATAGACTTCTCACATTTTCATGATTTTTCTATTTGAGAATATTTCTATTGGAATATTTTCAGTAGTAAATTGAAACTTTTTGGTCTAGTTTTTCCACTCCTAACAATGTTCTTATGAATTCAGGACCTTCTTATACCTTCTCTAAAACAGCTTCCATTTTAGTCTGGGCAGCCTTCAGGTTTTTCAAGGATATGTCATGCCCCTAATTGAAATAATTCTCTTCCTAAATCTACATTGGTCTCCTGTCTTATCAAGGTTAGTGAAATAAGTGATCATTGACAGCTGGAGAGGAGGAAGTGCTTGGCATCAGAAATTTCTGTGCTAATTTTTTTCTGAAATCATTATGTTCATTTAACAACAAAAGGTTAGGATATATATGAATCCAAGGGGTTTCCTTGCAAAAAAAAAAAACCAAAAACCCAATTTTAGTTGTATAATGACATTGATTCTTAGTAATTCTAGTAGCGTGGCACAAATAACTCTGATAGGAGACAGTATTAGAGAAGTAGGAATAAGTAAAGTCCTTTATAGTAGAAGATTGTGTGAGTGTTAAAGTCCCTTTTTTTTCCTGGAAAAGTCAAGGAGGAACTGTAAAACAAATTGACTGTTCTCCATATTGAAAGGCCACCCCATCCTCATGGCAAAAATGCAGCCGAGTAGCACCCATAATCAGGAATTCAGAGTGATACTATGATAAATGAAATCAAACTACCCTTGTAAATCTTAACCGTTTTTCCCCTCAAGGTTTCCTACTTTTTGAGTGCAGTATTTGTAAACTATACTGTGTGCCTTGCTCATAAAATACTCAAAGAGTATAAGAGATAGTGACTAGCCTTGTGATTTTATTGATCTAGGGAACTACTCAGTAGATTGAGGAAATACCCTCTACCAATTCAGGTAGGCACCTTTTCTTCAAATCAGAACCTTGGATAGTTACCTAGAGCACGAGAATTTAAGTGACTTGTCAGGGATCACAAGACCAGTATATGACTGAGGCAGGACATGAATCCATGTCTGACTGGTTTTAAGGTTAGCTTTCTATCCATTACTACTTTGCCTCTCAAAGATGATAATGAAATTATTAATTCCAGCAATATATGTGTATGTGTGTATATGTGTACATATATCTACATATTTAAAAATAACTTTCACAACTGGAAGTGTCCATTTAGGTGCTGGTTTAACATCCCATTTGGGAAAGGTGATATGAATACTGGCTAAGAATTCTAAAGCCAGTATTACATTAAGATCTTTCCTTTGACCATTTTAAGTTGTCAGAATCAGACTTTAAGAGAGCAATATTTTTGTACCTGTGGGGTTTACGTGTTTGTTGAGGTGTATATTGGGTATGTGTGTCTGCTTTTTTCTGAGCTTCTAAACAATGAAATCCACCTTTTGAGATATTTCTTAAACTCACTACTGAGTCATTAGGGAAGCTAACCTAGACTTTGAAAGTCCTCTTTTCTCATTCCTGCTTTTCAAATTTAATTTAAGGTCCCATGAGGTTATCAGAGGAAGTAAAAATAAAACAACTAATATGGATTGTTACCTTGGTGTTAAAATAAGGATTTTTGTTCATAATGATCTATTCCAGAATTCATTAACAAATAAGAAACAGCAGCTTTTCTACAGTGGCTTTTTGTGTATGTTCCTCAAAGAAGTGCCCAGGTAGTATGGTTGGGGTGTTCTTTAAGTTTAGGTCATGTGACACCTTTGACTTATTTCCAATTGACCAGAGATACACACACACACACACACACACACACATACACACACACATATACATGTATGTGAATGTGTATGTATTTACATATGTATACATGTAGACATATGCTTTTGAATTTTTTTAAAAAATGCATTGTGACTAGAGAAAAGGTAATTTCTTATTTCAGTTTTTCCCCCAGTTGATCTGAGTGTGTGATGTAAGAGGCCAAGTAATGGCTGTATAACAGTTATTGTCCCCTGTGCGTCAGTTTCCTCATTTTTTAGAGGAAAGTGGTGAAGTTTCACCAATAGAAGTATTACATAATCTTTTATATAATTCTTTTCCCCAAAAGATGTTCCAAACCTACTGTGTTAACATGCTGTCCTTAAATTTAAAAAAAAAATCCCAAAAAGCAAATTTTTCAAGAGAATTTACATCATTTTTAATAGTTGCATTTTTAAATTTTTCATATGAGGTTCTCAGATAGATCTATTCTACACCCATTAGCACCTTAAAGTGCCCCATCCCCAAAGTACTGTGTGCTCTAGAATCCTATTTTATGGAGGAGGGAGTTGAGACATAGGCATCACTGGAAAAATCTAACATCCTTGTAAGTTGTGAAGAAGAAAGCCATGATCACACCCATGGAAAGGTATAAGTGAAAAGAGCCCTAGATTTCAAGCGTCATATCTTAGTTTTCCTGGTTTACTACATGTGTGACCTTAGGCAAGTCATTTAATTTCTGGGCTTTATTTTCCTTATTTGTTAAATAAGGGGCTTGGACTAAATGATTGACTCTTAAATTGCTTCTTTCTTTCTACAGCCTATCAATTCTGCTTTGTTTTTTAGGATTTAAAACATAGAACTTTTTACATAAAACATACAGTTTTATTTATTAGAGCACCTCTATTCTTTGAAGCAGAATTATAATCATTTAAATCTAATTTTGGAGGCAGAAACCCAAAACAATTTGAAGAATACTGACAGTTACAACAAGTGCCCAAGGAGTCATTCAAATGTAAACTGCTAGATAGTAGTAACTCTTTATTTCAGTAGACTTCTCAGTGAAGGGAATGTCATTTGTTGTGTTATAGGATGTTGACATGGACAGATAGGATGTTTTGGTTTATATTTTTATTTAGTAATTAAGGGGTCCAAGCACTTTACGAAGAATTGGTATATTAGTTTCTTATAACCAGTTTTTTTTTTCTTATATGAGGTATGCCATTTGTTTTTAATGGTTACCATGTAGCCTTTTTATAAAGGAGCTGTGGTATTGCCTCCTAAAAGAAAGAACAGACATTATTTTAAGTGAATCTTTTGTCTTGGTTTATTCAAAGCCTAAGTTCATTCAGAATTTCAAAACATTCAAAACAACTGAAAAACATGATAACATTATATAGAAGTGAAAATCTAAAATGTGAATGTATGAAGAGGTGCAAATAATAGAAGAAAAAATAATTTTAAGTAATACTTTGTGGCTTCATAACACTTTTCTTACCTAAGATCCCAAAGTGCTTTACAGAGAATGTTAGAACCGCCAACATACAGTATGTTTTGCAGGCTAGGCAAACAGTAGACAAGTTGTGATTCTGGGGGACTAGTCCTTTGAGCCTGCCTCCCATACCACCCTTTGGTACTATTAATTAAGCAGGCTCAGGCTCACTTCCTTCTTAGCACTATCAGAAACCAAACTCTTTCTTCAGAAACGTAAATTATAATAATAAAGTAGCATAGTCTGCTCAAGAAATCCTGTGCTTCCAAGAGTATTAACTATAGACTGTTTATGCTTTCCAAATATTAATATAGTCAGTGATACTAACCCTGACATTTTCTTTATTAGTGTGTAATTACCTCTCAGGGTATAGGATACTTAGTAAATTTAGGGTAAACTTTTTATAGTCAGTGGCAAAAAAAAAATAGAGGCGTAATTGCCTAATATATTACTAGCTCTCAACATTTTTAGACTAGATAGTATTTTATATAAATCGCTAGCTAATATAGGAGCTGGTAACCTGCTTTGAGACTGCCTTGTTGCGCATCTATGCTGCTCCCATCCCCATAGTACATATTGTGAACATACTTTAATATGTATCTTATGAAAATTATTTATATATTTCCATCTTCTCTATGTTTCAGGGAAGGCAGGAGAGAATGTATCTGTTTTGTACTTTTGGTTGCTTATAGAATTAATAAGTTTGCAAATTTGAGGAGAATGAACACTAGAGGTACACAGACTTTAACAAATGTTTTGCCTCATAAGATGTCTATCTGCTGGATGACGTTATATCCATGCCATCTGTAGTTCAGTGTGGAGAACTAAATTGTTAAAGATTAGGGTTAAAATTGTCTTTAGTTCTGTTATTTGGCACTTCGAGTATGTAAGAATTGGAAGAAATATCATTTTATGCAAGAGAATTTTGATAGAATGTTATTATGGAGAAGCAAATTATCTCTTTGGGGGGAGACACTGTGAACATAAATGAACATTGTGACTCTCCAGCTGCATAAACATAACAAATAACATTTAGATTATTCTGCTCCGTAGAATATAAATATAAGATGAAATGAAACTTGGAATTTAGATTTATTTGATAGGTTTCAAAAAGTGTTTTGTTTTACATTATCACACCCAAATTTTGGCAAGATCTTTCTTAATGCAGTGTTGCTAAATACAGGCTTTCTGATTAAAAAAGGTCTCCCCTCTACAAGTGAGATGGAAGGTTGACCCAAGCCCACATGTGCCTGAATTAATCAGATAATTGTGTCAACCTTCTACTCTGCTTTGGGCATCACTCCCCTTCAGGGTAGTGGGGAACCAGGATACTCTGTAACTTTCCATAACTACCATTAGAGTCAGCCTTAACGTGGGGCATGGCAATCACTTTCTCTAAGTACTATGCAGTATCATGCAGAAATGTTTACTTTTTACATTATATAAAGTAATTTATATCAAATAAGATTTTTTCATATCTTGAAAAGGACAAATGAACATATGAACAATTTTAAATCATTATGCATATTCGTATTTATTAAGTATTCAGTTATTTCCCTCAAATCTTGCATTTGGTACAGGTGTGTTCTCATTTAATAAAAGTTGAGTGCAGGCTAAATAAAAATGCACTTAATTGATGTTCAATAAATATTTATTGGCAGGGTCACTGTGTCAATCAAACTGATAATAAACCTTAAATAATGAAGGTAAATATTGTCACCCATTCTTTGAATGGAATTTAGTGAAATTGTTTTACATTTTGATATTTTAAAGTTATATTGAGATGAGTTATTTTGACTTCATTGTTTTTTAAAAGTGTGTTAATAATACTTACTTAGAATATGGTCAAGCATTAGAAATTACAAAAACTTAAGTGATATTCCCTAGTGCATAATTATAATTATTCATTAGATTTATCACCAAATTATTTTGAGAGAACTATTGTAGTCTTAGAAGCTAACCAGATTATATTTTGATATCAGGTATTATTTGATTTAGGTGCTGTTTATTTCTTCCTAAATTGCTGTTGCTTTCCAATATACTTTTCTTAGTGGTAATGAATAAAATGTGATATTAGCATAAATATTTATCTGCTTGTGTAATGGTTTTTAGGGGCATCTTTCCTAGGATAAAATCTGCTACTCTTCACAAATAATAAAGATGGAAGTACCAAGAATCTGAAAATTTATGAATAAGATTGAGAATTATAAACCTTTTAAAAGATATTTGAGAGAATTTTCCTGGGCTCCTAATTAAATAGGTGAAAGCAGTATGAGAGATGGCAGTTGATTGTGGGTCATGGCTGTAATTCAGGTTTTCTAAGCAACAGAATCATTATGTCTGTTGTTTAAGCATATACTGTCATCTAAAAGAGAATACTCAAACTGAGATTAATTTATCCTTTTGAATTAACAAACTAAAAATTACAAGATTATCAAAATGTAGGGTACACTAGAAATTGTTTTCTTCCTTTTACTATGACGGGGGGGGAAAGACAAATAATAACTCTTGAAATTATCAAAAGAGAAAATCAAATTGAGACACTAAAAATAAATAAGTAGCTAGATCTTTTCATTACTAGTCAGTGATGTAGTCACCTGGAATTTGGAACCCTCTTAGTGTCAATATTCCTCACATGTTTCTGTTATTAGAATTTACTACCTGTGTTAATTATATGTTGCCTGAAGGTTTTCCAAGTGTTGAGTAAGTTGCAGTTCAAGTTTGAAATTGTTTTAAGATGGTATTAAATAGCTCATGTTCAAATGTATAGGATACCTGTGGTACAAGGTGTTATCTTGGGCATTAAAGACAAGTTTGATTAACTTTTCTTACTGAGGATATTAAGTTCATTTGCTGTACTAATATTTTCTTAAATTGCACTGCTGATTTGCCCCCATTAAAGCAAACTGCACAAATCCTTTTTTCATTATTCATCTCAAAGTCATTTTAGTAACTACTGATTTCCAGTTATGTAAATGGTATTTCACTCTCATATTGTAGATGTCATAAAAAGATGAAAACATTGATAAGTATGAATGCTAAGGGTTTATATTATCTATACTTCATACCCCACCTCAAAACCCCTAACAACTGATGCTAAATTCCAAGGCTAATGTAATGGTTTTTGTTTATTGTGTGTTGGTCATGATAATTTTTTTTTAATTGGGAGAAATTAATGATGGAGGCAAACTTATGATATCTTCTCATTTTTCCTTCATCTCCATCATATTACATATATATTTTAGAGCAACTAGCCAAATTTTGCCAAGCTTTATTTTATAAGGAAAAGGAAATTCCATTCCATGTGAAATGACATGATACTCTGATATCTGATTAGACTAATACCCTACCGTTGTTTTTAAATTATGTACACTAAATTATGCTGTTTCCATAAATAATAGTTAATGTTGCATGTTAATTATATGTGTATACATATTTTATTTTCCTTTTATTCTAATAATATAATATGTATTAATAACCAGCCCTGGAATTCTAATCTTCCTATTCAGCTGTCTTCCAGTACTTAATGGTACAATTTAAGTGATTATGAGTGACAGAAAAGTAGAATGGGCTATCCTTTTTTTCCATTTAATTTGATTTTACATGTTTTAGCAAGAGTATACCAAGCACAGCCATAAATTGTATATCTGTAGAAAAGGAAAATAGTGTATGTTTTTTTTCTTTGCTAAATGTTGTCAGTTTTAAAATAAACTTTTCATCTCCTAAAATAAGTCGTGGATTTGGTGTGTATTTTTTACATTGATATTAGTCTACTTTGCTTCCCAGTTTAATTGCAACTTGTAGAAGAAAATTATGTTCCTAGTGAAACCAGTAATTTGATTATATACAGCATGGGAGAAATTTTTAAAAAATGTCGGTTCACCCAAGACTTGCCTGAAATAGCTCGTAGATGCATTCCAAAGACAAAAAGGTAGAATGACTGCCACTACTTTTTAAAAAATCTATTGTTATCTGTTGTTAAATAGACTTATATACTAACCACTTGTGGTAGTGGAAGGTCCATTCACATTTTTCAGACATAGTTATAGTGAAAAATATCATGGTAGAGGTCCAGGTTTCCTCCCCAGTGTTTTCTAAATCCTGAGTTTAATTACTATACATAGTGAGTTATGCAACCACTGTCAGTAGTCAGGAATCACTGTGCAAGAAAACAGAAACACTGCCTAATCATAGAGATTCCCTAACTTTACATATACAGTAGTATATAAATGGGAAATCAACCAACAGACATTTATTGGGTTCCTGTTACGATGCTGGGCATTGTGCTAGACCCTGGGGATGCAAAGAAGGAAATCATTTCTTACAGATTCACAGGAGAACAGGTAACATGTAAACTATTTGGTGAAGTAGACGTTTTTAGTCACACTTTTAATTTGTCTAATGGTTGGGTATCCTAAATCATGACCATTTATGGAGTGATATTTTTTAACAACATCCATTTGTCACCAGTGACTATTTTAGATTGGAAACAATTTATATTAAAGTGTCATGACTGATGTTTAAAGTTAGGGTTTACTGTTTATGAACTCTGATGAACTAAGGAATAGAAATTGCTGAGTGAAAACTGTCTTTCAGTTGGAAGAGAAAGCAAATTAGATAAAGGGTTTCACAGCATTAATAATTTGCATGTACAATTGATATTAGCCAAGTGCTTCTCTGGGAAATTGCTTTACCTAATAGGATGCTACTTGAAATAAAAGGCAAATAATAATATTAGATGCAAGATAGTGCTACTAGCCAGTCATACTTATTAAATTAATGTAACTTGTTCCTAGGTCTTCATTTTGCATAGTGTTACATTTGCCTTATGTTGGAAGCTGAAATATATAATTTTTATATATCCTTATGAAATAGGAAAAATATATGTTAAAAAAATACAAGGCACATCCTTCATGGCTATCAATATGTAATAATCACAGTGTTTATTATTTTTTATTTTATTGTTATTTTTATTTTTATTTTTAATTTAATTTTTATTTTTATTATTTAAAATAAGAACCATCTAATTTTCCATTTGGAGAAATGTACAATTGCAGTTTCATATTGCATTGCAGTGTAACCACTGTACTTTAACTTTGGGGGGGGGCCTCTTTCGTTTAGAGAAGAGACAGAGGAACCCTGGATATGAGGGAGAAAGTGTTTGTTCTTTGTTACCATTTATCTTAACCTCATCTATATTGCCTTCTTGATGAGTTTGGAATTATCACCCTGGCCACTCACCTTCCCTGCCTTTCCCTCTCCAATAATTGGAGCCTGCTGCTGGCCCAGAAAGTTGCATCATTTGCTTTCCATCGATCATAAAAGTAGGAGGTATATGATAATTATGGGAAAGGAAATGGATATTAAAATTGGTGAAAGAATCCAATTTTATGAGGACCAAAGAAGGGAGGTAAGGTTATAGAATCTCTGTGCTTAGGCAGTTTTTCTGTTTTCTTGCACAGTGATTCCTGACTGTTGCCAGAAATTTTGGCATTCTTTGAGGGGAACTCCAAAGAATCAAGGAGTCAGTGTTGTTGCAATACAGGTTGCCTGTGTGTTATAGATAGTGTTCCACCCTTGAGGCATCCTGCGTCCCCATTGAGTCTTGACTTAATGGTTAATCTGGTGAGCTTTGGGACAGTGCCTTGCATCTGATCTGTGGCTTAAAGTCATCTCATTCACAAAGTGAGCTTTAAAATTAGTCTCCTAAGATAAAAATCTGGAACAATCATTCTGATTCCTGCAGAAAGCTAGTCATAAACTTGTAGCTTTACTCCAAACAAGCCCAAAGAAGGGCCTGAAGAAGCCAGGCAGCTCAAGGAAGCCATTTGTAATGCTATTTACCTTTCTAGTTGTATGACTGGGAAACCAGCTTAATTTCAGTGTACCTCAATTTCCTCCTCTGCGAAATGGAAGTAATACTACTTGTGCAACCTCACCATGTCTTTGTGAGGAAAAACACTTTGTAAGCCCTAAAGCATTAAATAAATGTGAGATAATATGAGGAGGCTTTGTCTAGCTAGAGATTTGGGGGTAGAAGGGTAGGAAAGAGATTACTTATATAACCTTTACTGGTAGGCCAATCTTTGCATTGAGTATTGTAGGAAATAGATGTGGTTAAGTAGAAGTTAATGGCTGTTGACAAAGGAATGAGAAAATCACTGCCTTTTCAGCACAGTGGGGCAAGTTCCAAATTTCACTTAGGGTGGAATTAGTGGTAGAACAAAGGTTTTGCCTATGGGATTTTTGAAAGATAGATGTGCAGTTAGCAAAAAAGCAGAGATTGGAGAAGGGGAAATTATATGGAGCAGGGTCTGTAAATGGAGGAAGTTGTCTTTTCTGTAAGGCTTTCTTTAACTTTCCTTCACTTTATATTCTCAGTCACTCTCCGTTATTGACTATAAGATGAAACTTGCATATTCAGTTCTGTATATCAGATGACAATTTATGTTTGCTTAAGTTTTTAAAGTTAGAGGGAAAGGTAAGTTAAACATGATTTATCATCTTTTCCTCCTCTCTGTCCCCCAAGATAAAAGACCAAGTCTATTTTGACTTGTATGTAACCCTTGAATGCTTTCTTCTCCTATCAGAGTCAATGAATCTTCCCCCTTTCCCCCAAAAAAATATAATATGCAGTATAATAGGGTGAGAAGTGTTAGATTTGGACTGAAGAATTATGCTGAAATTCCAACTTGCCAATTTACTATCTCTACGAACTTAAGTCACTTAATCTGTCTGGGCTTCCATCTCTTTATTTATAAAATAAAGAGGTTGGATTGGTGACCTGTAAAGTCCCTTCCAGTTTAAAAAACAACTCATATTCTTAAATTTCCTTATTGATGCCTTTTAAAGAACACCTGTCTATTTATACTTTACTCCCTTCCATGAACTCTGTAATGCCACTGTATTGGACTGCTTCCCAAATTTGACATCTCTGTCTCCTCTCTCACTTTCATTGCACTAGCTCTCCCCTTTACCTGAAGTGCTCTGCCTACTCACCTCTTCCTCTTGATACTGGGAGTGAGAAAGGTATCCAGAACATTGGTTATACTCTCCATGATGAACTTTTGAGAGAAGATAGACCAGTCACCTACGATGGGTAGACAGAACATGGGTTACAGTCTGCACCATTGGTGGCCTGGCTGTACCAGATCTCAAACTATATTATAAAGCACCAATCATCAAAACTATCTGCAGTTGGCTAAGAAATAGGATGACGGATCAGTGGAATAGATTAGGTACATGAGACGGTAGTAAATGACCATAGTAATCTAATGTTTGATAAACCCAAACACCCCATCTTCTGGGATAAGAGCTCAGTGTTTGACAAAAACTTCTGGGAAAACTGGAAAACGATATGGCAGAAGCTAGGTATAGATCAGCATCTTGCACCACATACCAAAATAGGTAAAAATGGGTACATGATTTAGGCATAGAGGGTGATACCATAAGCAAATTAGGAGAGCAAGAAATAATTTTAGATCTATGGAAAAGGGAAGAATTTTTGACCAAACTAGTGATAGAGAGCATCATGAGACGTAAAGTGGATCATTTTGATTATATTAAAAGGAGTTTCTACAAACAAAACTAATGCAGCCAAGACTAGAAGGAAAGCAGAAAGCTGGGAAACAATTTTTACAGTAAGTGTCTCTAATAAAGGCCTTCTTGTTCAAATTTATAGAGAACTGAGTCATATTTGTAAGAATACAGATCATTCCCCAATTGATAAAAGTTTTCAGATGAAGAAATCAAAATGATCTACAGTCATATGAAAAAATGCTCTTAATCACTATTGATTAGATAAATGCAATTACAACTCTGGGGTACCACCTCACACCTATCAGATTGGCTAATATGACAGAAGAGGAAAATGACAAATGTTGGAGACGATGTGAGAAAATTGGGACACTAATGCACTGTTGGTGCAGTTGTGAATTGATCCAGTCATTCTGAAGAGCAATTTGGAACTATGCCCAAAGAGCAATCAAACTGTGTATACTCTTTGATCCAGTAATACCACTTGTAGGTCTGTACCCCAAAGAGTTCATAAAAATGGGAAATGGACCTACAAGTACAAAAATATGTATAGTAGCTCTTTTTGTGGTGGCAAAAAATTGGAAATTGAGGGGATTCCCATCAATTGGGAAGTGGCTGAACAAGTTGTGGTATATGAATGTAATGGAATACTACTGTGCTATAAGAAATGATGAGCAGATGGATTTCAGAAAAACCTGGAAAGACTTACATGAACTGATGCCAAGTGAAATGTACAGAACCAGGAGAACATTGTACACAGTAATAGCAACATTGTGCAATGATCAACTATGAGCAACTTAGCTCTTCTCAGCAATACAGTGGTCCAAGACAGTTCCAAAAGATT